AGATATTTCAGTTTGGACCAAAGCGGTCAACTGACAGAAGAAAATGACATTTCCATCCTAAGAGCTGCACTGCTAGTGTGGCTTAAAAAGCAAAGCAGACCTTTTCTAGATGTCACTCACAGAATTACTCTAAAAGCTTTACTGCTACTTTGACACATCAGCTGATTCTGCGGACAAGCTAGTTTACACAACCAAGGTGTTGAGCACACTGTCAGAGCATCTCTTCATAGCCACAAGTCATAAATGAATTTTATTTAAATTTAGCGATTGGTCGTCCCCATCAACGACAAGGCCCTTTGTTAAGCAAAGCCTCATCTAGTTGAACCTATGCAGAGGAGCAGTACAAAGCATACAGGAGACTGACTCTACAGCAGCAGTGGCCTCCTTCACACAACACAAGTTCTAATCAGGTTATGTGAGGTTTAATAGCCAGAGTGGAAGCCTGGTTTCAGCTCATCAGTGACCGCAGCACATCCAGAGGCCCAAACCTCCACCTCTCAAACCCCTAACTGCATTAAATGAATTTGGGGGAAAAAAAGCTTGTTCCTTTGAACAATGTTCAGGACTCATGTTCGAGACTTTCCCATTGGCCAGTGAGGAACTAATACGGAATATCCAAACTGAATATGCTGTTTTCGTGATCCGTATTATATTTAAAATATTCTCATATTCAGAATAATGGTGGGATATTAGTGTACATGTCAATGTCCATTGTGTCAATGTTGGTTTTGGTCTTTTCATGGGATTTGTTGAAAAATACAGTGACACCATCCTTATTCTTTAAGGAGTCATAAGCCAAAAAGGCTGGGAAACACTAATGTACTGTATGCAGTGTTTAATATGAACATGGATTAAGTATGATCCTCAGATAGCCTCCAAAAACCAAGAGGTCTCGACCCCAAAGTGGGAAACCGTCACAATAAAAGCTGTAAGAGCTAATGCTAGACTACTGTTGGAATTCCTGAGTACAACCACTTCAACATTAGCCCAGCAAAGTAGGTCAATAGCAAACCTATAGGACAAAATTCAAAGGATTCTAAATCTTGCCCGATAGGCAGATGAGGAGAATTCATCAAGGTGTGTGTGAAGCATCATAATAGGAGCACCTCTGCACTGAGCGAGAAGACAGGAAAGAGAGCATGGGGCCAGCACATACTCACAGATGCATGTTTCCAATCTTAGAGTCCAGGCATGAGTCACCAGCAGAGTGTTGACCAGACTGGTCTTTTATAATATATCACATATTATCCCCGAAATGTTTCTGTCTCTGAAGTAGGGTTCAGCAATATACCAGTTTCAAGATATACTATGATATAAAAGTTGACGGTTATCATACCATGTACATTTGCTTATCACTATAATTGACACTTTGCTAAGTCCCGCCGCTGTATGTAGACTGGTCAATCATAACGTAGTATTGGGCCATCTCAGACCAGGGTTTGACAACTGAATGTATACACATGCTGCTTTTGCTTTTTAATGATTACACTGAAAAAAAGACTGACCCTGCTGTAAAGGAACCAATGAAGGGAAGCAGGGAAGCTCTGCTGATATTCAACCAGCTGTGTGTCATCGCATTGTGCGTAGATGAACTTTGTTTGACTTCCCCCAGAGATCCCAGCCCGTCTGGCGGCGCAGGTCTGGGTGCTGGCGGGGGCACAGACGGCAAAGCCAAACACTGTTCATCTGCACACACTGTGATGCCACACAGCTGGTTCAATATCAGCAAAGTTTCCCTTTATATTCATTGTCCTCTGTCGTGATCACAATTGATGTGGTGGTTCACTTTTACACTGTGATCTGTTATCTATAGTTCGGCTTTAGCTTCCAACTATCTTTGTCTTTTTAACCTGTTTTTGCAGCTGAGTCAGTTTGAAATCCTGGATATATATTCTTCAAGTGCATTTTGTAGAGCCCTCTGTCTGCTTCTCTCTGAAATCACTATTTAATGTTTCCAAAAATATGATCATATTTCTTCAGGGAGTGCAGTTAGTTTGAGTGTGGGCTTCATGCTTATTTCGACAGCTTGATGGACCATCACAAAGGGGCGGGGCTTAGAGAAAGGTCAATTACCGCCTTGCGGTTGTATGCCTCTGCAAACCAGTGAGCTTGCACTTACATTTTACATCAACATCTGTGAAAGTGTGGATGCTTCACACAGCTGTTCCCAGCAGCACAGACAATCCATACAATCAGCACAGTTTCAAGGTGAACACCCAAGATTAGTGTCACCAATTCACTATCTGAAGGTATTCTTGAGATATCGTGTTAACAAAAATGAGACAGACATGGTCACAGTGCCCTTGACCCTTGACAACCAAAAACGAATTAGTTGATTGTTGAGTCCAAGTGGACATTTGTGCCAAATTCCCTCAAGGTGGTTTTACAATACAATACAAATTATATATGTGGTATTAATTTCATGTGGGATGGGACATTGTATTTCAGAGCTTTGCCTGTCAGTTAAATATCAGGATGTGTCACCATGCATTAAAGAATGCAATTATCCCTGTTTCAATGAAGACTCATATCACGATGCGATGATGTTACAGCGTTGCTCATTTTCATGCCGAATAAAATAACAGAGAGGTTTGTGTGAATCTCAGAATAAACCATGACATTACACGTTCGGCCAGGTCAGTGACAGAGAGCTTTTCAGCCCTGACAGCAGGAATGTGTTTCTGAGGACAACCAGACCAGAGCAAACACCTCTGCTATGATAACTGAAGCTGTCACACCACAGCATACCCACTGATACGCCCTGAAAACATCTTGTTCCATCCATTTCTCTGAAAATGAATCATCTATTTCCCACCTCACAGCCTAATGTGATTTCTGCTGTAGCATCTCCCAGCCCGATGCAACAGCACGCGTCACTGGGTGGCACCAAGCTATGATTAATCATGACTGCACTGACACACAGGCACTACAACTTTGAAATACGATTTAAAACTAATTTTTTAAAATTACTGGTAAATCTATATCATAAAACACTCAAGTATGTCCTACCAACAGACTTTAACATTCTGTATTTTAATCTATCTTTTATCATCATAGTAAATGTTCTATAAGGACGTTTCCATGGTGTTTTTGGCTGTAATATATACAAAAGGGATCACAATAACTGCAGCATCACTGTAGTCCCTTTTCAACAAGGTAAACACTATTTGCTAGAAGTTTCAAGACAGTAAATAAAGGTTTGCTGTGGGTCTGAATGTAAATATACAGCTCAGTTGCCAGAAGAAAATGTTGGCATAGTACGTTTCTATAAACCACAAATATGTAACATTGTACTGTATGTGTCACATGTATCATATCAACATTTCTAAAGTGACGTAGTATATGAGCTTTTCCTCACTAGAACCAACTGGTTTTAGTGTCTAAACCTACCCACACATTGACCCCAGTGTTGTTGAAATGTTTCCAAATATCCAAAACATGTACAACTATAACATAACCGAAGTCTGTAGCAGCATAGAGTGCCAACATTTTTGCTGGCGACTGGATTGAAATATAATGCAACTCATCCTCACAGTCAGACCTTAATCTTCTTTAAATAATGTCCTATAATGTACTCTTCAATATTAGGAATACTTGGCTACAAAACTAATCATTACTTTTATATAAATTCATCTAGAGCTGAAATAATTAATTGATTAGTCATTAAGTAAAAACATTATAAAACAGAACAAGCAACTTAAAGGCATGGGCTACAGGAATGTGTATTCTGAAACAACACTTACTCTCATATCAGGATATAATTACATCAATAACATCCTCAGCCCTAGGCCAACTCCAGTCACAGTACAGCAATCTACGAGAGACTATCGCCTAGGGACCTGGGGGGCAAGGGCTCTTTCCCTATTTACGGCCCCCTTGGTCAGACCACACCCATCTTCGAACTCTGCCTTCATTTTGACTCAACTACAGCTGTGAAGTTTCGTGACTGCATCTTGCACAGTTGTGACACTATCACAATGACAAACTCTGTTCACAGACAGACAGACAGAGACACAGATGTATTTAACACCTGCCAAAATACTCAAAACGCCATCCATTGCTAAGACTGCTGTCACCAGGACCACATTTTGCCATGATGACACACAGACAGACTCACAAAATGAAAACAATATCAGCCGTCACAACATTGTTGCAGCTGTTAAAAATACAAAAAGGCATCTCTTCCTATTAGTGAACAGCAGCCCAGTTCAGTGTGTATGAAAACAGACGTACACCACTCTTCACACAGCTCAAAAATAAACTCACTTTCAACATCAATTCATCCCTGTTATTTACACTAAATGTACATGCGACAAGTTTAACACCCTCCATCCTTTGTTAAAAAAAATCAAATAAATCTGTTAGTGCTGCAACTAATTATTATTTTACAATCAATAAACCTGCTGAGTCTTTTCTCAGTTAAATCAAATCAAACTGCTTAACTGTTTGGCCTATAGGCTACAAATATAGCACATATTTTGCTTTCTGCCTAAATATTATACATTCATAAAGCTCTTAAAAAAGGAGCTACAACCTCCATGAACATTTTTAGATTCCTAAGGCAAAAACTGTGGCTGAGAGTGGCCCGATTAACCAACTGATGAAGCAAGCTAATCAGCCATGATAAGGTCATCATTAAATAACCATACCATACACAGACTAACCCCATTGAAATATACTGTATAACCACTGGAGATCATCAATACCACTAAATATCAATAGGTTATATTAGTGCCACTGAAGGCTCCTTGGTGAATACAGAAATACAGTCTGTACCACAGATCATGAATGAGCTCCCCTACCTAAGGCCACCATCAGCTGTTAATGGAGGACCACGTAAACACCAAGTTCCGACAGCAACATCACATGATACCGTGCATATAAGAAAGGGTTAAAAGGTGATGTGCGTCAGGCCCATCGCAGCTTCACAACACCAGCCTGTGTATGAATGTATGAATGTATGAATGAATGGCTGACAGCAGGTAGCAGCAGCTCCTTACCTGTCAGGCAGGTGCTCAGCGCCAACAGGGCCGCAAACACCGCAGCCTGGCCGAGCAGCGGGACCCGCATCCTGGGCACAGCTCCGACGGCTGACAGGGGACACGGAGACCTACCGACTGAGGAGCAGGAGGAGGAAGAGGAGGCGGCGGCGGCGGCGGCGGCGGAGGAGAGTCGGTGTTGATCATTCCCCCATCACTCCCTGGTGCTGAGGGAGGAGAGGACTCAGGAAAACGAAAAAAAGGACGACAACATAGAAAAACCAAAAGAATTTAGGACACTAAGCAGGTGGCCGTGTTCACCCGGACTATCAAGTGTGTTTGCCGCAGGGTGTCTGCTCTCCACCGCGGGTTGCCAACATGGATGCACACCGCTGACTGGCCGAGTGATTGTGGTTTCTTCTGTTGAGCTGTGGCAAGAGGCACGTAGGTGTGACGTCAGCACGCTGCACCCCCTCCGTGCTGCCCTCAGTTGCTGCTAAAGATGACACCACTGCGTAGTTAAACTATTAAAATGTAACCTGACTAATTCCGTCTTAGGCACAAAAGACCAGACCCTAAATGTTCCTTTCATAAAGCATATTGTATAATGTAGTTTTGCAGTGGGTTTCAGTTCAGAGGAAATATGCACCAGTCACAGGGCACTGACAATCACACTAGGCTATATTTTAAAGGTATCATATTATGTATCAGGTCCATACTTGTATTTTGGTTTCCTACTACAACATGTGTAGCCTACATGCTTTAATGCTGAGAAAAAAACACATTACATTTCTCACACTGTCTGCCTGAATATAGCTGTATCACCCTGTCTAAAACAGCCATTTTCTCTTTACAGGGGGTTTCACTGAAATTACTTCCTGTCAGCTGGCCCATTTAGAATATTACTGTTTTGAACGATCTGCATATTATACTTGTGACATCACAAATCCCCCAGGGACTACCACTCAAAGGGAACTCATTCAGCAGCTTCTCTGGCAGCAGCACAATATATCTCCCTCTCCTCTCTTGCCATGGCACACTGGAGTCGGTGTCGTCAAGTGATTTTGTCATAAACCTTTGATAATGTAAACCTATGTGACGCTTGTGGTCGACAAAAAACTACATATATGTGTATGTGCAGTAGTTATTGTATCGTAACAGCCTGTCACAGGTTACAGCGTGATGATTAGAGGAGAAATGCATAGCAGAGCATAAAGTTCCAGGTGGGAAAATAAACAACTAATTTTTTGCTAAAAGAGAAGAACATCACTTGTTGATTTATATAGATCCCAATGTACATTTTTTGAATGTGGGAGCTGTTTAAATGTGTAATTTGTGGTAGATTTGGTTTTGTTGTACTATTAATATTGTTCACAGAATCTGAATCCTGACCGTGAGTTATTGTTGTCATGTTTGTGTAGTTGTTACTAAATATTTAAAGTGAAACTGTAAAACTATATCACTTGTTGCAAGTCTATGTTTTCATAACAAAAATAATCATAGTTCTTATGATAATAAAATATTATTTTTTACTACTTTTTCATATTGTCAAGAATACTCTGAAATACTGTGATTTTATTTTAGGGCCATATGTTGAATGAGGGCGGCATGAGGTCCTGGCGTCCTCTAGTGGGACCTGTGATCACAGCCCAGCACCGTGCAGCTTAGCAGGTCTGCCATTGGCACCCTGTTCTCTTCACAGATAAGAGCAGATTCATACTGGGCACATGTGACAGGCATCAAAGGGTCTGGAGACAGCGTGGTAAATGTTATACTGCCTGTAACATCATCCAGCATGATCGCTTCGGCGGTGGGTCAGTGATGGTCTGGGGAGGCATATCCATGGAGGGTCACACAGACCTCCATGTCAGAGCAAGCGATACTCTGACTGCTGTTAGGTACTGGGATGAAATCCTCAGAGCGACTGTCAGTCCTTATGCTGGTGCAGTGGGCCCTGGGTTCCTCCTGGTGCAGGACAATGCCCGGCCTCATGTGGTCAGAGTATGTAGGCAGTTCCTGGATGACAAAGACATTGATGCCATTGATTGGCCCGCTCATTACCCTGACCTAAATCCAATTAAGCATGTATGGGACGTTATGTATTGGTGCATCCGACGCCGCCAAGTAGGCTACCACCACAGACCATCCAGGAGCTCACTGATGCCCTGATCCAGGTCTGGGAGGAGATCCCCCAGGACACCATCCGCCGACTCATCAGGAGCATGCCCAGACATTGCTGGGACACAGGGGCCATACACACTAGGCTACTGAGTCACATTATGAGTTGATAAAATTCATGCAAGTTGGATCAGCCCGTGATTTCAGTTTTTTACTTTGATGTTTGGTGTGATTTTGAATCCAGCCCTCAGTGAATTAATGATTTTGGTTTCCACTGACTTTTGTTGCGTCATTTTGTTCTCAACAAATTACACAGTGTACATCAGTAAAGATTTTCAACTTGAATAATTTGCTCATCAAGATTTGATGTGTGATTAAAGTGTTCACTAAATTTATTTGTTCCCTAAATTTATTTGAGCAGTGTATTATATTAGTCTAATGACCTCAGGGGCAATTTCTTTCTTCATGAGTGCTTTTTGCTTCGTTTTTTTCATAGTATAAGTAGGCCATACTTTAGCACACCATCTTAATGGGTAAAGGTAAAACCTCTCATGGATAATGTTTTGGTGCCCTCTGGTGGCACATGACTAGACTGCATCATGTGAGTACTTAAGAACTAATACACAGAGAACAGGCACGGTTTCTTGATACATTCTTTACAATCCCACGTTTATCCGCCTGAGTGTGGATGGTATAGGTCCTCTAAACCTGGTCTATTTGCATGATTGAAGCATAAGTGTCCAAGTATGTTTTAGGGGCCTTCAACATTAACACTTGAGACCAGGCTTTCAAGGAGTGTAGAATTATGGGGTTGTTTCCATTAATACTCACCGGCTACTTTATTAGGTATACAGTACTGGGTTGGGCACCCTTTTGTCTTCAGACCTGTCTTAATGCTTTGTGGTTAGATTAAACAAGGTGCTGGAAACATTCCTCAGAGATTTTGGTCCATATTGACATGACAGCATTGCGCAGTTGCTGCAGATTTGTCGGCTGCACATCCATGATGCAAGTGTCCCATTCCACCACATCTCAATGGTGCTCTATTAGATTGAGATTTTGATGACTGTGGAGGCCACTGGAGTACAATGAACTCATTGTCATGTTCCAAGAAACCAGTTTGAGATGATTTGAGTTGTGTGACATGGCGCGTTATCCTGCTGGAAGTAGCCATCAGAAGATGGGTACAGCGTGGTCATAAAGGTATGAACACAGGCAATAAAAACAATAGGCTGTGGTGGTTAAACGATACTCAGTTGGTACTAAGGGGCCCAAAGTGTGCCAAGAAAATATCCCCCACACCATTACACCACCACCACCAGCAGCCTGAACCATTGATACAAGGCAGGATGGATCCATGCTTTCATGTTGTTTACACCAAATTCTGACTCTACCATCTGAATGTCGCAGCAGAAATCTAACTTATCAGACCAGGCAATGTTTTTCCAATCTTCTGTTGTCCAGTTCTGGTGAACCCATGCAAATTGCAGCCTCTGTTTCCAGTTGTTAGCTGACAGGAGTGGCACCTGGTGTGGTCTTCTGCTGCTGTAGCCATCTCCTTCAAGGTTTGATGTGTTGTTGGTTCAGAGATGGTCTTCTGCATACCTTGGCTGTTAACGAGTGGTTATTTGAGTTACTTTTGCCTTTCTTTCATCTTGACCCAGTCTGGCCATTCTCCTCTGACCTCTGGCATCAACAAGGAATTTTTGCCCAGAGAACTGCCACTCACAGGGTATGTCTCTTTTTCGGACCAGCCTCTGTAAACCCTAGAGATGGTCAAGCGTAAAAAAACACAGCAGATCAGCCCATCTGGCACCAACAACCATGCCATGTTAAAAGTCACATAAATCACCTTTCTTCCCCATTCTGGTGCTTCGTTTGTACTATAGCAGGTTGTCTTGACCGTGTCTACATGCCTTAATGCATAGAGTTGCTGCTACAGCTGATAAGCTATTTGAATTGACAAGCAGTTGAACAGGTGTACCTGTGAGTACATGTCTTTTTTAACCTTTGTTGGGCTGTTAAGGAGCGCTGGGAGACAGGAATGCTTGCAAGAAAGATGTTCAATCTGTAGCCATGAAGGCATTTCTTCCTGGTTATTGTCAGGAGGGCAGCCATGCTAGAAAGAAAAAAATATTTAAATGGACAACTAGATAAATTTTATCAGACCAAATGCTTCCTAGAAATTCTTGGTATTTCACCAGGCCAGGTCCAGCTTCTTGAAGCACAATTAGGGGACACTTACTGGAAGTGATTTGACCACCTCAAAGTTAACTAGGTGATTACAGCCCATAGGTGTGTATGTGAGAGTGATTGTGGGCAGGATAGGCTTTGTAAAAGCAAAGAACTGTAACAGAAAAGAACGCCTACTACCCCTCTAAAAGTTAAAACAAAGACCATGTCGACAACCTGATAATATTTAATTGATAATCATTTATTATCAATGACAGTCATTCGGATCACACAAGAGTAAAAGAAACCTAAAAGTATATAGGACAAGAAAGAGAAGAGGGTGCAGAATAATAAATAAAATAGGGGGTGGAGAGATCAGCTAAGGCACTTAGGAAATGATATAAAATGTTGTAAAATGACAGTTTGGTTGTTCCCCCGTCCATAGAAGTATTTATACACAATATACACAAGTTTACTTTGTTACGGGACAAACTTATAAAATAGTGTTATTCCCACCAACAAAAAAGAAATTGTCAAGTCTTAAGATGTCAGAGTGTTCATCAAAGCAATATATGAATTGTAATGCATGTTTGAGATGGGGAAAAAACCCCAACTAGGGCTTTTGCACATTGTGTAAAGTATTTTCTGTTAACCAATATGTGAGTTTCAAATAATTGTATTTACAACAAACTTTATAAAAAACACAATCTAATTGTTGAAGGTTATTGGAGGCATCACAGTAGTTTACCAAGATACACTTAAGAGCTAAATCAATTCACAAGTATTTCACCAAAGACACCTCAACTGGGGTGTTCTTGCAACTTGTTACATGTTTACAACACACCATTACGGACTCGAGGTCATCCACTGTGCTCACATTTATACCAGGTGAAAATAATCTAAAGTGTAGAACTGATGAGGATTGAAAGCTCCGAGTTTGCTGAGGATTTTCTGCCAGACACAGAAAAACAATATTTAACAAAATGGTGACAGCACCTGAGCCCTGCTCAGTAAAACTAATCGGTTGCACAGTGATGACTGTGCCTGAAACTGGTGTGGAACTGAAAACTGTTGTGAAACTGAAACAGGTGTCACAGAAACAGAATGAAGTGTCTTTCAATCTTTGTCAGATAAACA